TTCAAAACAACTATTACACCATGAATTTTCTCGTTAAATCATAATACAGATTTGAAGGATTGAATTTCAAAACATTAAAATTACCTTGCTTTAACTAAAAAAAAACTTTCACAACAATTACGTTTTAACTAAAAAATTTATAACCAATCGTGTAAAAATTACTCGAGTTATCACACCCACAAGTCACGTGAACAACAACGACGACGCCAAAATCTTTCCCTTACTATACCGTCCCCTTCGTTTACACTACACTATGGGCAAGGCAAAAAAAAATGTATTTTAAAACAGTAAATGTACCCTCTCACAAAAACTAGGATTAGATTACATTCTTCAAAAATATTGGACAGAATGTACAAAAGATATAAAAAATTTACACATTGAGGGCGCTGGGGTCATTTACTGTTATTGTTGTAATGTTCATGATCCAAAATATGCACCTGCCATTCAATAATCTGATGTAAGACCAAATGGTTGTTTCACTTCATCCAATGCGTCATGTTAAAATGGTTGATTACGAACCAAGTCTCTCACAATGACAAATCACCAAAAATTCAATTATTTCAATATTTATAGAGTCGTGCAGTGCAAAAGACAGCATTTCTAGATTTTTTATTTTTTCACAAGGAAATCAAATGATTCAAGTTATCGTTGGTAATGCTGTGATGATTATAAACTCCGTTGTATTTCAAACAGATGTGGTTCTAAAGATTCGTCAAATGATCATTCAAAATGTACTCTAATCTCAATCATTGAAAACTAGGGTATCTAATTCCTTACAGATAAACATGAATTACGTCACTAAAGATGCGAAATTCCTGGTTTCATTTGCTATAGAACACGTGTGCCTCAAACACGTATGAAGAACAATGTTACCCTGCAGTGTATTTTCGTGTAGATTCTTTGTTTTACTGGAACAGGATGGAAATAATTTTGCTAACTTTACTGAATAATCTGTTGTGGTTACTAACTCAAAGTTTGAATAACTGTTAATCAAAGTTCGAGTTACAAAATTTGAAAGGTGAACAAAACAAAAAATATATGTTGTCCGTAACTCGAAGTTTGCTTAGCTGTTATTTAAAGTTTGAGTTGCTGAATGTTAACGTTCAACAAAAACCAAAATGTATGTTGCTCGCTACTCGAACTTCTGTTAAAGGGCGGCAGTCGTTGTGCCACGTCCTGTTCGGCATGGGACTCATAGCGACGTATACAACGCGTGTAAAATACTTTGTTTATTTACATGAAATTCGAACACGCGCTGCGCGACGACCACCGCGCTTTAACTGTTAATTGAACATCGAGTTACAATTTGGGCGTGGTTTTAAAAATTTGGGCGTGGTCATTTATGTAACTCGATGTCCCTAACTCGAACAATTCAGCATCTCGCATTAACAGTTTTGTGTTCTACACTCCTCTCATTCAGTTTTATTTCCGAGGTATCGTCGCGCCACACATGTGCGACATTTGTGTTGATAAACATTAATTTTTCCACAATCTAATGCCCTCTTCTAATTGAAATCACAAGTATGAGGTTTGACCTGGGCGCGATTTGCACTAATTACCGCCGGTGACTTCTTCGATACCTTCCAATTCCCTGAATAATACTTAAAGCTTGGTAACGTCTCAGTTTGTACTCATTGATCTGCGCAAGTCAAAGTCGCCATCTTTGTTTATATGAGACCTATGTATCTCGCACATGCGTGGTGCGACGACTAAATCTTGAGATCCGTGTGCTCGTGGCAACGGCATTACACACAGTGTGTGGTTTTATGGTGGAATAGTGTAAACTGAACAAAAAAATTACATCACAGATTTTGCTAACATAGACCGATTCAGAAAGATTCAGATAAAGTTGCCATAGAAACAATTTTGGTCATTCTCAGGTGGGGTTGCCCTTAATGCATGAACTAAACCAGTAGAGTTATGGATCTGCGGTTACCATGGAAATGGCGTTTTTTTTGAATGATTTTTCATTAACTAAAAAATGTTGGTAGATTCGGATATGGTTGTCATGGAAAATAATTTCGGAAATTGTTCATCTATAACCCGACAAAGTTATTGTTTAATACTCAGTAATTTTAAGCTGTGGTAGCCCTTGGTAACTAGACTAATCGATTGTTTTTTACTTGAGATGTGGATTTGGTAGCCATGAAAACAGCAATTTGGGGAATGATTAAAAAGTTCGATCTTGCTAGATTAATGGATCAATTGAGGATGGTTGGTTGGGATCTGAATCTCTTTGAAAAAAAATTTTTTTTGAAATATTGTTTGAGATTTTATATATTAGAGGCTTATCTATGGATAAATGAATACAATGGGACATAGATAATAGTGATATGTAATTTGCATTTATAACATAGGTTTGCGCTTTTTTAATTTGTAGATAAGGGAAACCTTCTCAAATATACACTAGGTAGTTGAATTTTATAAACTAACCACCTTTTCTAGCTTCAAATGACAGATCTACAAATGCACACTAAAATATAAAATAGATGTAAAAAGTAAACTTTATTTGGTATAGTTTGAAAATAACTTATTTCTTCTCTGTTAAGATCTCCTCTTTAAGATACCGACATCTAGCTCCCAATAGTTGATAATACATGTAAGAAAAGCTGATAAATATATTTTTGATTGTTCAAATGAAATGAGCTTAAAAATAATTGGTTGGAACAAATCTTGTTACTAATATTTGGATACATTAAAACGATTATACCCTATCAACCGCTTTCATTTCATATTCTGAGAACTGTGTAATGCTTGAAGTACCCCATAAGTAACAGTAAATAAATTACATGAGACCACCTAGTACAGCATACATTTGTAGTCAGAAAATGCATAGAAACATTCCATCAACTTTTCCTTATAAATTACCACAGTAAACTATTACTTATAAGTACTGGCATGTACAAAGTTTGTATATTTGAAAACATAATTCTTGTGTTTTTTTTTCTAAAACTGAAAACTTTCAACCTACAAACTAGATTATTTACATAATTGCAACATATGTAATATTTACCTAATTATCAAAGACATAGAGGTCAAAGGTTACTGGTGCAATGTATCAATATTGTACCAATGTCACTATTGAAAATAATGCGACTCCCTACCTTACTAACTTAAATGCCAGACAACTGTACCACTGTTTTGACTTACAAGTAAGATTTTTATCACTAACCAAATAAATGTATTGCAGTCATGACAAATGCATGGTTACATTTCAATTGCTATGACAACTATCTGCTCATATTGCATGCTGGGAAAATATGTAACTGATCCATTGATCAGAATATTAGCATATTCAAATCTGCAAAATTCTATACATTATCTATATTATGGCCAAATACAGTCTTAACTCAATAAGAGTCTATTTTTACAAATCTTGTTTAATTTAAGAGAAATATTCTGTAGCTAATACTCAAGCTGAATCTCAACATTTGATGATGTATATATTGGTCAGGGGATGATACCTCACAGATTTGCAAAGTGGGAATGCAAATTTAGAATATAAATACATTAAAATATCAGCACTATGTTGATACAATTTTTGGGCAGTCTGATTTATATTTTGATCTAGCACAATTCATCAAAAGCAGGAAACCAAAGCTCCAATAGCACACAATACATGTATTACTTGTAATGTCATTGGGCATTTGTGTTCAATTGTAAACACATGTATGTCCACACAGAAAACGGAAATGAATTCACTTTTTTAAGTAAAATCAAAAATAATGGAATCACAACATTAACAAATCAGTTTTTAAATTTCACAACGTGTCAACATGTTTGATGTGCAACATATACACATGTAAAAATTAATTGTTCACGTACATGTTTTAAAAAATGTGTATCACATGACTGGGGTGCTATATTTTGATACTTGAATACAATTGTGACAAAAAGCGCTTAGTTTTATTCTGATCATAATACTAGAGCACATCCACTACAGTACCTAGAGTTCATGTAATATGGATAATGAATGTGTAGGAAAATGTGAAGAAGATCTGTGTGAATTAAGCAATTTAGATGAAGAGTTGACAACTACTTACCCGGTAGATATTTTCGATAAAGTGTATAATTATCAAGTTCAGCATCCAAAATAGCTACTTATCTATTCAGAATCATGACAAGCAGCCTCTCGGCTGAGAAAGCTCTACTTTTAGCAATGCGCTTTTTAATCAGAGAATTGAAAATATCACAAAATGGACAAATATGAGAAAGGTCCATCTGAGGTACCTAGATGTATAATATCAAAGTAATCAGACTAGCAGTTTTCAAGAAGAAGTTGAAAATGTAAAAAGTTGATTTGAACGAAGGACAGTCAGTAATATGATTAGCTCCGCTCGAAGAAGTTGACAGCGTAGCTAAAAATATATACAGATCTTATTCTTTGACAATTTGGAAAATACCATATAGGGTGACTGGCTAAAATTTGTAATTTATCATATGCCTTCATATTCAAGCAAATTTGTAATTTATCATATGCCTTCATATTCAAGCAAATTTGACACAAGGTTTAGGATAGGAACATTCAGGGTATTTTGTATGGACCAACTGAATTTTGTTAACTGTTAATGTATGCCTGACATAGTCAATTTAGGCCAATTTTTGTTTATAAAATAAAATAAACAAAAACACATTTAAATTTGCTACAACTGATATAAATTAATTTGCGTAATGTAGCCTGTTGCTATGGCAACATATGATAGCTTAAAAGGATATTGTTATAAAACACTAAAATCTTCATCACATTTTAAATTCGTACTCAAACGATTTGGAGAAATACCTAGACGTAGGAAAATGCAAGGTTTTTGGAAATGTAAATAAATAAAGTTTCTCATACATTTTAAAAATAAGGTTACAATACAATTGCATAGCTAATACTCTAAACAAAGAAATTTTTTTTAGAAGTTAAAATATTTCAGTCTTTTAAAAAATGGAAAGGAATATTCTGGATATAACTTAAAATAAAAGATAAAATATTCAAAAGTAATATTAAAATCTACTCAAACTTCCGTCCCCGGTTCGCCTTTAAGGTTGTTCCTCATGTCTATATCCAAGTTGGTTTTTTTCACTCGGGCGTGTCCTGTATGTAAATTGTCATGCTTTTGAATATTAATATTACTGAAGGAGACAGTTTTTCTGAAATCTTTGCCTAAATCATCTTCACATTTCTTTGCAAGTTTTGCATTGTCCAATTCCATTGCAGCATCTCTGTTACTTGGCTGATGTATAGTATCAGTCTTTGTGTAATGATGTCGTCGACATATTATAACAACTACGATGACAGCAATAACTATGATTAGCACAACACCAATGAGAGCTGAACTAACTATAACAACTTGGCTGAGTTCGTCAGAGTCGACAGTAGTGTCGTTTAATCGTAATACCCGCATATTAGTTCCGTTGTGTCCATCGCTATTATATGAAGTTCCAAATACAATACTCTCATCAATCAAATTACCATTAACGTCAACAATTTCACGTTTTTTGATGGCAGTGTTCAGCAATGCAGAGCGATGATAGCGTGGAAGTGAGTCGGATGAGCCAATTACATATAACACCTGGAGGTACCACTGATGCCCTGAGTCAATCTACAAGAGAAATAACAATAAATTGTGGTTATGTTAAAAGGAAATCTAAAACAGATTCATACATGATTGGTTTTATGTCATACTCCCGGTACTTGTTACATAGATAACCCCCGTAACAAATATTGTTAATAACATATAGAGTGAATTTTGTAAAGACGCAAAACAAAGTTGCTGGAATATT